CTCTTATCTATATCTATCCTTTTGTCCACGTTTTCGCCAAATTCCCCAAAGAGAAGGAATCTCTCCTGAAACTCTCCTGTTTCGCTTTCGAACGAATTCCTTTTCCACGCGTTGATGGATACTGTGTCGCTCGTGTCGAATGAACGTAAATTTTGAATATTCTTTATAGGTAAGCAACTAACTCTGCCATCCCCACTCCTCGCCCTCGTATCGCTACGAAAGGAAAGAGGGGGGGAGAGGAGAGGAGATTCGATATCCCTTCCCCCCTCTCCGCCTCTGATCCTCTTTACGGGGCTGGAACCTGGCAAGGGCTTTTGTCCCCGAGACACGCGCGGAAAACTTTGCGGAAAGAGCTCGGTTTCTTGCCGCGCGCGCGCGCCTACTACGTTTCCTAGACAATGCGGCCAACTTCTGTAATTAAAGTTATGCTCTCTCCAAGCAAAGTTGCGGCAAACTTCGCTTCGTAGCCGTCCCCTCCCCCCTCTCTGCTCCCCCACCTTTCTCGCTCCTCTTTCAAAGTCCGAGGACCGCTTGTCACTTATAAACTGTCAAGTTCGTTTGAAATCTTATCTCGGGGAGGTGGGCGGAAGCGCGCAGTTTTGAGGGGGAGGGGGGAGGGGAATTTCGCGCTCTCCGTTGGGCCTTATCTATGGGGAAAAACGGTGAACGGAGGTTATTTCGCTCGGCTCGAGGATGGATTTTGACGAATAATAAGGAAAGAAATCGTGAATCGGATAGAATAATTTTTCGATTTTTAATCGCGGAGAAGACAGGAGTTGGAAGGAAAGGAGATTTAAACTAAAATTTTCAATGGATGAAAAATAATTTTGTGAATCGTTTTATATTTAGTGAATTAATATTTGGAATTGGAGTTATGTATATCAGCTATATATCGAAGGTAGCTTTTGAGAATTTTGTTGTTAAAATTTGCTTTAGTTGAATTTAATATTGTGCTCGAAGGTTGAATCTATCGACAGTGTATGATATTTTTGTTCCCGAGTTTTATAATCAAATCTATCAGTTGCTCTCAGTGCTAGTTTATTTATTTTCGAATCTAATGGCGTCTTTACATCGAAAATAGTTTTTGAGAATTTCATTCTTAACTTTATCGGCGCTTTAACGTTGAAAATTATTTTATCCAATGTCAAAACTTGCTTTACCTAAATTTAACGTCAAAAATTGCTCTCGACTATTTTATTTTCGAATTTAAATTTAACTAAATTTATCGCTCTCGATAAATATCGATAGTTTTATTTTTGAACCTATCGGCTCTAACTTCAAACTTCTTGCTTTAAATTTAAAATTGCTCTCGAAAATTTTACAATGAAATCTATGTAGATAAAAGTTAACTCTAACGTTACATTCGAATTTTACAATGAAATTTATCAATAATCCAATATTGAGATTTGCTCTCGAATCTTAAAAGAATCTTAACTCGAAAGTTGTCTTCGAGAATTTTATAGTCGAATCTATCGATTAATTTCGAATTTAATTTCGAAATTTGCTCTCGAAAATTTTTTATTCTAATTTAGTTGACAGTCTAACTATTATTTTCGAGTTTTACGATCAAATCTATCGATAGTCCAATTTATTGAGAGTTGCTCTAGACTCTCGAATTTAAACATGGAAAGTTGTTTTCATCGAAAGCTTTATAATCAAATTTAAATTTCGATGGATTAATATTGAGAATTGTTCTCGATAATTAATTTTATTTTCGAATCTGTCGACGCTCTAATGTCAAAACTTTACCCAAATTTAACGTGGAAAGTTGCTCTCGAAAGTTTTGTAATCTTATAAGTCCAACATTAAGGTTATTGTCCTCGAGTTTTACGATCAAATCTATCGGTAGTCCAATTTATATTGAGAATTGTTCTCGACAGTTTTACTCTCGAATCTAAACTTAACGAAAGCTGCATTCGAGCATTTTACGATCTATCGATGGATTAATATTGCTCTCAATATCAAAAACTTGCTTTAAACTTAGATTTAAAAGTCGAAAGTTTTATAACGAAATCTATCGATGCTACTCCAATATCGACAATTTTAAACCCAACAAAAGTTGGTCTAACGAAATTATTACGATCCATCGATGAATTCACAACTGTTCTTTACAATTTTATCCAATCTCGAATCTTTAAAACGTTTAAAAAAATTGCTTTCGAGAGAGTTATTTTACAATCGAATCCAAACATTTCTCTCTTTTGCCCTAAAATACATCAACGCTCAGAATCGAAGCTTATCTTACCAAACTCAACATCGAAAGATTCATTTTCCTAGATTTAATCAAAAATTGATGCCCACGAAAATTTTATTCTCGAATTTTTATTCTTGAGAGTTGCAAAGATTCGAGACTCGTATGTAAACGCAAGATCGAGGAAGAAAAATTTGGCGCGCGCGATTCGAAAAAAATAGGAAGCCATCGAGAAGAAATTCAAGAAAGAAAGAAAGAAAGAAAGAAAAAAAAAGAACGAGCGAGGAAGCAGAATGTAGAGATTCGAGATTTGAATCCGGGTATATTCGCGAGATAGCGACACGAGGAGTGATAAGGCACGCTTCCCGAGTCCCGCGGGAAGAACGCCTTTTCCTTCTGTCTGCTTCTGAATATGATTTCTTCTCTGTATCCGGAATACAGAGGCAATAGTCGTCTTACTCCTCCTCCTTCTTTCTCTAATAGATTCTTACCCCAACGATTCGCTCGTAATCACCAGCTTACAACGGTTCCTCCCTCTTGGCTTATCGCCATTTCCACGATTCTCCACGTTGCTCTGGAAAGAAACTACTATGTACAAAAGATAGTACAGTAATTAATACT